GTTTTATCTAGCATGTTATTTTTTAGATGTTATATTAATGATGTTATTATTTTTTGTAGCATCCTACAAAATCATTTGAAATATTTACAAATAAAATTTGAGTAATTACGGCAATAGAGATTATGCTTACATCATAAAAAGTATAAATTCTTCCATAAATAATTATCATACTAATGTTACATTATTATCCCAAAAGGTCTTAGTGTACAACAAGTAAAGGTAGATGCCTTGCAAATTTTTTTGACACAAAGTGATGTTTCACTATTTCAAGCTTTTTAAGATTTTCAAATTACTACTAAAGATTTTTAAAAAACTTTAGCATCATTGCTAAGGCTTTAACTATTTTTATAAGTAAAAATCAACTACAGACTTGAAGTCATGAGTAACAACATGCATTCAATATATTAAAGCAAAATTTGGACTCAATTTTAGTGCTTCGATGTCCTAATACCAATAGACCTTACAACTACAGACAAATTAGAATGCAATAGGATTGAGAGCAATCTTCACACAAAAAGATGATATAAGATATGAATATGTCATTGCATTTGCTTCTAGAAGTAATAACAATGCAGAGTCAAATTACTCATCTTATGAAGGAGAAGTTTTGACAATAATTTGGGCCATTGCTTATTTTTGACCTTACTTATATACTCAACATTTTATATTGATAACTGACTATCAAGCTTTAAAGTGGCTTTTAGAGTCAGATAAGTTTACTAATAGACTTGCAAGATGGGCTTTATTGCTTCAAAAATAAAACAATAAGATTGTGCATTGAGTAAGCATTATCAATTTGAATGTCAATAGACTTTCTTATAATCTATGTCTTTTAAAAAAAGTCATAATTAGAACTTAGGGGTATAGAAATTGTGATTAAGAAATAGTTTGAGGGTGGCATGTAGCCACATATTTGATTTTAATGTTAGGTTCTACAACGATGGTTTTTAACTAGATTTTAGATGAAGAATTAGACAAGAATCAAGTAATTAATAATATGTAAAAATATCTAGTAGTCTTATATAAGCTTTAATAAAGAATATTTCTTTTAGTTATTTTTAACATAGGAAGAGATAAGATTAATGACTAAATAATAAGTTTTTATTGGAAGAATAATTTATTATTTTGTATAAGGCATGATGGAGCTAGGTGCATAGTTCCAAGGCCTAATTGAAGAGCCTCCTTGATATAATAAGTACATAAAAAACTTGGACATTTTAGAGTTCACAAAATATATTCTATATTACAAAATCAATATTAGTAGAGTAGTATATATCAACAAGTGGCCAAATATGTTTCTCAATATAAAATTTGTGATTAAATTAAATCAAGCTTTAACACTTTATCACCTTAATTGAAGCTATTACCTATTATAGATTTGGATTATTATTGATCTTCAGACTTTATTAGACTACTTATTGTTGCTTTATGTGGAGCTAAATACATGTTGGTGATAATAGAGCACTTTATCAAGTTGATTTAACTTATGTCTTTATCACAAAACTCTTCAAAATTGGCAGCTATGGCTTTTTTTGATTAAGTATTGGTACATTGTGGAACACTTGCTGAAGTCTTAACAAATCAAAGGAGAGAGTTTCTTAAAATTTTTGAAGCTTTATGTACCAAAGCTTTGATTGATCATCATACCATGTCTAAAAATCATCTTGAGATAGATTATCCAACTAAACAAACTGTTCACGCTGTCAAGCATGGATAATGGAAGTATGGATTACTTCATGGCAACCATTGTGATTGAGATTTCATGTTGTCATAGATTGCAATGATTTATTGCTTCAATATACAAGTATCTTTGGCATCTTATTGTCCTTACCAATTTTTGTATTGATGAGAGTCAATTCTATCTAGCTCAATTTTTTAAGAAGCTAGCTCCAATTAAAAACCTATATGATTTTGATCTTTGGATTCAATGTCTATATGACCAAACATAGTTCTTTAAGCAAGCCATGCCTATAGCTATGAAAAACTTATCTATTACTTCATATTGTAATACTTTGCAATATCCTTGTATTTATAATAGAGCTTATTGATCTCAGCTGCGAAGATTTTTTACAGAAGAAAATATATTTTTGTAATGTTAAATAACAATAATACTTAATATTAAGATAGGAAATATAATTTTATATGTAAAAAATATGTTTTCTAGTCATATTTTATTATTAAAAGGTAAAGATGGATAAGAGTATCGAGAGCATTTAAAGAATTATATTCCTTATTATCTTTATTTTGATGAATCTATACATCCTAAATTGGTAGTTGTGCAACTTGATCTTCCTTGTTTTATGTGTGGTGAGAAGAAAGAGGCTACTACCATGCTTTTATGTAATCAATGGGAATATAGGTGGCATATGGTATGTTTGACATCACTTCTTTTGACTCTTCTATTCGAAGATTGGATTTGTCCTTGTTGTAAGAGTCTTCTAGCCATGCCTCATCTCTTGATAATGATTGAAGATTTCTTCTATTGTGTGTCATACATTCTAACAATTTAGCTGCTATAAGACTAGTTTGAAAAAATAGAGTTTGACATTCACATCGTGGTGGTATATATCTTCCAAAATGTATGTTTTGTAGTCCTAATTGATTGAGGTTCGAATTCTTGATCTCATAAGCAACTATCATTGAGATTAAAATCATCTATTTGATGAAGCTCAAATTTTTTATCTCTTAAGCAAATTATCCTTGATATAATATCTATTTACTTAATTTTTTATTTTTTAATTTTTTATTTTAAAACCTTTCTAATTTATTCATAATAACTTAGATTTCTAATTATTCTTACATCATTAGAAAGATAAAAAATTAAATTTATAAAAATATATTTTTTACTTTTATTTTTTATTTTTTATTAAGTAAAAATCTATTGAATAAATTGTGATTAGTTTTATAGTATATAATTACTTAATTTAACTTGTTTCACTTATTTTTGTATTGTGCTTCTTTTGTTCTTGTTCTTGTTTTTGATACTTCCACTTTATACTACCAATAACAAGCAAATTTTAATTGAGGCCATCTTATAATTTGGATTGAAGAATAAATTTTACACTTACAAAAGAAATAAAAATAGCTATTGCCAAAAGACAAAAAAAACTTAACTTTTAAATTTAGACTACAATAAAAAAGAAGTTGATAAGAGTGAAGAAGGCATCATTCTTGCTTTTAAATAAACTATCCATTCAAAAACTTTATGGTGGCATTCTATAGGACCTCCAGCATATATTGACTTTACAAACCACATGTCTTAACTTGTAAGACAAGTTTTTTATATGTGTGCCATATAGTTAGCTTGTTCCATAAGCTATCCACATGTGTAATATGTGACTAATTTTTTGACCAACTTTCTAATCTAAAAATCAACAATAAATACGTATAAAGTCAAAACCATATATAACAAGCAAATTTTAATTGAGGCCATCTTATAATTTATTCATAGTAACTTGGAGGTAGGAAACACTCTTGATGGTATTACTAATGTTTTGTTTGAAGGAAGTTATGAAGGCTTCAATAATAATCAAATATCAGGGTGGTCTTCTCGCTCTAGTATAGAACATTATCAATTGTTGAAGGAACCTATCAACTACCTTCAAAGAGAATAAAGATCAAAGTACATGGCAAATAAAGTTCGGTGCATCTTAGACTTCATCAATATGTAATTACCGCTCCTCAACTCGTCCCTAAAAGAGAAGGTAATGTCACGAACATACATATTTATCTTGATAGTCATCTAGATAATAAGAATAGGTAGAAGTAAGTCAAAGTAGATAAATATGATAATATCTTGTGGGAAGCTTCTTGAAAGCTTCAAAGTTATTGCTTTGCCTTTATATATGTCTACAGGTGATTGATAGGTTAAAAACTTAGCCAACAAAGAGGCCACGTGTTGACATATTGACTACTTGTAGTAGAAGTTGGACATATGGCACACACCTAGGATACTTGCCTTGCAAATTAGACATATGTCTTGCAAGTTGGATGCGTATTAGAGGTCCTATAGCATGTCACCACATAGTTCTTAATTAAGTGGTATATATAGAGGCAAGATTGAGGCCTTCTTCACTCTTATCAACTCTTTTCTTACTTTTAGTCTAGTTTCAAGAGTCTTATGTTTTCTAGTCTTTGACAATAGTCATTCCAGTTCTTTCTTGAATATACATACTTTTTTCTATTTAATCACTTTTCTTTTGATTTAGATTCCACAAGTTCATGTATCTTCTTACATTTTGTGTCCTTGAAAAGTTTAAAAAACTTAAAGAAGACTATTAATAAGAACTTATAGTAATAAATTCATATAATTAAATTACAAGATAAAGTGTTTTTATAGTCAAATAGACTTCCAACTTGTAGAGGTTTATTTTAATTCACATGCTTCAAACATACTTTTCAATTTCTTTTATGCTCAATTAATGTCTTATATGATTATATATATGATACAATATTTTTGTCAAGGCAATTATTAATTATAGTTAGAAATAATATATTTCTATTTTTCCAATGGATAGTATGGTATAATTTTGTGGCAAACAAAGTTAAGGTATCAACATCAATTTTTGCAACATTAGGTATTACAAGTAAAGGTTCAGTATTGCCTATCACAGACCATAGCTTTTTAGTCTTGAGAATCAATGACAAACAATATTGCAAAATGTTAATGTAGGTGCCAACAAATTTAGAAACATGGCTGATATTAACCTTGTGAATAATTCTCAATATTTTATAGAATAAACTTCAAGTTCATAGAGTTAAAAACGAACTTCTTTAAATCACTTTCATTTCCATTTTAATCACAAATTTTAATTTTATGTGTAGGATCATAATCACTTTCTATGAAGTTGAATACAGCTTCAATCTTCATATTAGATTGTTGACTTATGTACATTTCAATCTAATGTAGATTCATGAGCAATTTTTCTTTTAAGCATAAGAATTGAAATTCAAGAGAATTTGCTCTAATACCATGTGGAATTTATATGAGAACCAAAATGTGGAGGAAGACTTTAACTGTATTGACAATAATGTTTACAGATCTCTATGTATGTTGTTCAAGTAAGACTAACTGTATTGACAATAATGTTTACAGATCTCTATATATGTTGTTCAAGTAAGACTAACTGTATTGACAATAATGTTTACAGATCTCTATATATGTTGTTCAAGTAAGACTAACTGTATTGACAATAATGTTTACAGATCTCTATATATGTTGTTCAAGTAAGACTTTAGTAGCATTGATAATAATGTATACAGCTTTGTACATATGTTGTTCAACTGCCTAAGACACAACTGTTCTACTAGTGTACTGTACTCATATTATATATGTATCCAACATATGCAATATATGTTTACCAAGTTCTTATGGAACATGTGTAAAACAGAAATGTACATGCCATCGGAGGGCTATGTAAGTGGATGGTACTACGGATTAGAATCCCTGAAATGAACCACTTGCCATGCAAAGAGGAGAGGCAACTCCTACTTACACTGCCTCACAATCCATCCTAGATGGAAATACTGTTGGGTACCCCTTTCCCGGTGAGCCCAGGGCCGGAAGTAGGGATCAGAAGCTCGTAAGGTAATTGCACTGGCCCTGCCCGGTTCCGAAGAGATTTATCTGCATTACGCTCATGAATGAGGTTCTCAACATTAACCATCTTTTGTGTGAACTTTGCAAAAGCATTGAGGACTTTCTCGTCGTTGCTCCAGTTGAGCGTTGCTCGCTGTCCCAAGTACTCCTCGTCTATCGCATGCGTGGCCAGGATCTCAATGGTGGACATGATGCTAGCAGCTTGAGTTGAGTTGGAGATGGAGTCCAAATAAAACCTCTCCGAGTTCTCGTGGAGCTTTTCCCAGTCTGGAGTACCAGGCTCCGGGATGAGCTTGCGGGTCATGCTTGGAAAATTCGGCATGAATCCGGCGTACGCGTACTGGCCGAAGTTGACAGCGGCGTGGTGGCAGGACGCAACCCACGCGATCGTTGTCAGCGTATAAATCAGCGACTCGATTGAGTTCAAGGTGGGCCATCCAGGTGCGTCCTTCTTGTCGCCATGGCCAACGGTGCGTATCTCAGTCCACCACGCTTGAAGCTCAGTGTCTTCCGCAACAGACTTGTCGTTCTTGTAGAAGATCTTCACGTGGTCTGTCATGTACTCCTTCAAGGCATCCCAGATCTCAAGTCCATCGGCTGCGTAGGGGTAGTCCTCGATTGCCAGCTTCAATCCATGCTTCGCAGATGAATCCCGCACCGCCACCCCCCTGAGTCCACAGAGCAACGTCAGCGAAGGACAAGTTTGAAGGTTGGGTTTTAGAAGAATAAACTGAACCATGCTAGAGATGAAGTAAGGCAAATGATCGTTACCTTTTAATGAGATCTTCAGGCAAGGCCTGCTCGTCAAACCTCCAGTCCAGGTTATACACAACTGCGGACATCTCCATACTGTACTTCCCTGCCGTGAAGTTCTGCTCAATAATCCCACCTGCATTAATGAGAGCTTTTCTTGCAGCGCCGTTTATATCCATAGTGTTTTTGTAATGCGGCACTAGCACATTATGGATTGGATGGAGAACACTCAATTGCCGGTTGGTGGCGATGATGAAAGGCTCAATGCAAGCGTGTGTGCGCAAACTGCAACCGACACATAGCCGATGAATCAACCATCCACTCGAGGTTAGTGTGATAGCAGAAACAAACAATCAATAACTCGCAATCAGAGTGAGAAGAGTTTCAGGATAGAAAAAGAAAATGATCTCGAATTGAGACTACTTACAAGTGGCTGATGAGCTCGTGATATGCAAAATCGCAAGAAGAGACGTGAGCTTTGGCGAGCTCCCACACCCAGTCTTTGGCAGAGCCTGGTGGGGGAGGAGTGAACACGCGGCTTTTCTTGCCAACTTCTTTAGTGGGTGGCAATGTAAGTTCAATGGCAAGAGGCATCAAGATTTTCTCGTTTGTCAAGAATACCAAGGCTCGAGGTGCGTACGTCGATCCCTTTTTTTGTTCATTGATTCTATTGACGTAGGGAAGGAAGGTATCATGGTAATCCATGATGAACAGCCTCTTCTGGGACAGAGCCTGCAGCAACAACACGACTTGGAGATTCAACAAAATCTCCGAGGATTCATAAAAGTTGGAAGCAATAGGAAAATGTAAATCCTCAGGCTCGAAGACGCGTAACCGATTGGTGGACTTACCTTCTCGACTGTAAGATCCTCAAGTCCGCTTTCAATGTGTTTGGTCGTTATTGCGGAAATGGGGTCGCCGAACTGAGCAGGGTCCAATTTGCTCTTGATTGGCCACTCCTGCGAATTCGAAGAGGTCGAGTTAGTCGGTTACAATTATAATGCTTACATGAATCCAAACAATGTCTACTTCAGCCTTCATGTTTTAAATGTAAACAAACCTTAAGTAAAGTGATGACGAGCGGGTTGAGGCCTGCGAGCATCCTCCGAGCAAATTCCACGTCTGTGGACCAGGCCTGAGTATCAGCTGCAAAACACACAAAAGTTTTCATATGAAGTTAAGTGTCTTGACTTTGTGACCCTCGATAATCTAGTTCTAGAGAAGCGTAATGAATGTGATGAAGGAAATCTTACATCAACGTCGTAAGTTGTGCCAGGGGTTGAATCAACAATGAGACGATCGCATTGGTGATACAAACATCGTCTACTTCAGATCAATCCGGAGACCCGACTGTGGCTAAGGCTGAGAATAGATGACGCACCTGCGATGACTCCAGGTAAAGGAAATGTGAGGAGCTTAGTGTCGGGTCCTGAGGGGAAAGCATATTCGTGAATGAATGTTAAGGGATTCTGGGTCGTCGTGCCTGCCGTAGATGCGTTAGGGGCAGCTTGAGGGGTGAGATTGGACGGAGTGACCACCTGAGCTTTCTTTGCTGCATACATGTCCATGATTTCGCCGAAGCTACCAAACTCTTGGTCTCCATCACGGACTGCACTTTTCAGAATAGGAACGATGGCGTGCTGCCCACTCCTGAGTGTCTCTGCGGCGAAATCTGAGAATTTAACTTGGTCGAATTTCTCGTCGCGCGGAATGTAGAAGAGCGCTAACAGCTGCCCTCGACTTTCTGATTTTGGATCTGAAGGCCCGAGCAAACCGATCAATGATCAAACTGACCACAACAAACTTGAACAAGAAATCCTCAAATCCTTTCAAAACCGACAATAAAAGCCCGTATGCTTGAATAGTGGAAATAACGGGGGACTAAGCGCGACTGGATACCTTTCTGCGAGGGAGGTCGACCAGTTCGAATCCGCCGCGGATAAGGAAACTCCTTCGATCCTCCTAGCACGGGCCTCTTCAAGGATTCGTGAAGGTCTGGATCACCCAAGTCGTTGTAGGTGGCGTAGTCGTATATTCGATCCTGATACTTCCGCTCGCCCTTGCCGTCACCTCGCAGATTCTCCAGCTCTTGCTTCCTCAGCCCCACCAAACCCTCCGGTGTTTCTGTCGGTAGATAGAGCTGCACAATCCCGCGTAAAACTCATCTGTAAATAAAATTTTACAGATGTATTCATGTCCATCGAAAAGTTTTCCTGAATATAAAAACATAGAAGACTTCTAATTTACTTGAGCTCTGGGCAGTACTGCGCATCAAGTAGCAATGAGAGCATTGCAGGTATGGACGGGGAAGAAGCTTACTTCATTACTGAAGAAAACACGACCAGTCTTGAAGCTGGTGTTGTACACCCACGAGTCAATGGGGAAGTTAATGACCCTTTCGTCAGGTAGCTGGACTGAGAACGACACGAGAAGAAATTCATGGACATGACGGTTCATCACGATGATGGCGCCGGGTGTGCCGAAGTTCTTAGGAACCTTAAACTCCATCTGGAATCTGAAATTAGTTGGGTACAACATGTCGACCGTCATCGCCCAGTCCTTAATTGGCACATCCTCGCTCACTAGCACCTTCTTGGTTTCTGCACTTGGCCGATTGCATTTATCAGATCACTCGGGTGAAAATTTCAAGGTTAGGGCATATATCCAGAATGCGATGTAGGCCACTAGATTTCCTAATCAAATAAGGCAATTTAGCAACATACTTGCATCAAGCTTGTTGCTGACGAGCATGATGGAAACGTGTTGTCCAAGGAGTTCAGCGACGTCGTCCCCGCTGTCGGCGATCAAGTCAGTCAGATCCAAAACCAGAAGTTTCTTTTGGACTGTGACAACGGCTTGCAGCGTGACAAAATCCCCATTCGAGGACGCAGTCGGTAAGACTCTATGGAACAGATTCCCGACCGCAGTGGTCACCTGTTCCAATCCTTCCGCAGCAGCTTTCACCGCGGAATTCGCTTTCAGCGCCAAAACTGTGGACTTCGGCGTCCCCTCTGGAATAGGCTGCGCCATTGCAAGCGGCACTTCCCTTGCGAACAGCATTACCAAATCGTACCTCGACATCAATTCCTTTCTCTTCGGCACATCAACCGTGGCTTTCGGTTTAGGCCCAGCTGGTGCTTGTGGCATCGCCGTCTCGGGTCCGGGAGTCTTCGCCATCGCAAAATCTTCGAGCTCTTCGTGCTCTCACTAACCGCAGTGACTCTGCTCCCGTTCTCCAAATTACAATATAATAATAATAAATAAATAAATAAGGTAAAACTTTTACGTCTCTCTCTTAGTAATCTAATTCGTGAAACAACGTCGGTAATGGACTGGAATTGTGTCACAAACTCCAAAGTTGGCTGGTGCGTTGAGACGTCTCAGTCTCTGAGCTGCGTTGGACTGCAGACATACCCCGAAACATGGGGAAACTGGAACCTCGAGCTCGCAATTCCTTCGTGTCAATGGCAGCACTGATGGGTTTAGGCCAAACTCTGGTGTCCAGGATTTCTATTTATAGGTTCACGTGAGGGGCTCCTTCCCCTCAATGCTCGTCACGTGGGCGGACAATTTAAGGCCCGGCTGCTGAGAATTGCTGGGTATTTGTCTGCTCGCATTGGGATCCACTTACAGTTGTCCAGACGACCCACCTCTTTATGTTTTTCATGAAAAAAATAAAACAAATTTGATAAGAACACATGCAGATAAAAGCAAAAAAAGAAAAGATAAGAAGGATCTACAAAATACAAATTTAGTACGCGTATGAATATGTATACATGTCTTAATTAACCTACTGGATAGGTTGTTGGCCGCATGGGTCAGAGAAAAAGTGCTTCTAACAACTTCTCATTCATTGGAGTGACATACTAATCCACAATCATTTTTGCAACCAAAACCCTACTCTAGCCACAACTGTATCCTTAAATATACAAATACCGTCTGGTATTTAATCAAGAAACCCAATGCTTAGTGAACAGTTGCACCTCTACTCTATACTCAATATAGTTGTTGTTTCTCTAGATTTCAAATAGTCACATTCTCAATGTTAAGCTTTTACAAATCTAAATGGTGTAGGAGCATCTAAAGCTAAGGAAACAGCACCTGCAACACAAATAGCAGTGGGGCTATTTCATGGGAAGTTGATGGAAGTTTCATATTAAAAGTAGTCATTCATCATGGGTCGCTCTGCAGCTTCTATTTCCCACTTCCAGTGCTAAGGATGCTTAGAGCACTATTCAGTGGGGGGCAGGCTCTGTAGATGCCTCCAGGAAGTCACTTCTGCACACAGAATCTATGGAGGTCCCTTTGTCAGTGTTGAAATATGAACATTACCCTTGGGTGCTAAAAGAAGCTTGGAATAATCCAAGCAAAGTCAGGCTGTGGTCCCAATGGCTCTTTAACTCTCATGAGGTCATGCCATGCTCTTTCGGGATAGAAGCAGCAGCAGCACCCTGGTGTGTACTTTCCCCAGCACACCCATCTAATATGTTCATATTCATAGATCCAGTGCATTCTTCCAGCCATCCCTGTTTGCACCATGTTTTACTGTGTGTGTTCATATAATATGACTTTATCGAATAGTAAAGTAATATTCAAGTGGATTGAATGAAGCAGATGAGAGAATCAATGTTTGAGTGGTGACATGCCCTGTGATGTCAGGGCCAACTTCTGCCATGAAACTAGATTCACTGCATTCACCATTGTATTCATTCCACAAAGGAGGTTGGGAAAGGAACTCCCAGTGTGATGGTGGTGATGTGTTTGAGAAGGGAGAGAAATCCACATGTTGGGGGAATTTGTTCCTCTGCATTTGTCTGTGGATGAATGAGAGGGGCAGTGTGTTGTTGTGGGTAAATGTGTTAATGTGTATATGGGCCTGGATGGATGACCTTTTCATGCTTTAACTAGGTTGTGGGTGTATGGGTGAATGTTTTAGGCATGTGCTTTGTGGTCCAGGGTGGCTGATGATGGCTGCAGTGGGAAGAACCCAGCCCCATGCTTGCACAAAAGTGAGAATGAAACCTGCCAAACTCAGAATTAGTAATAGAAATGGAGTGGAAAGTTTTGAAATGGAGAGGGCACTGACACTGTTCACATCTTGAATTCTTGTCTATAATTTTGGAAGGTTTGACCATGAGTTGGTGTTTTTTTGATATTGATAAACTGTTTCAACCAGGTTTCTAATTACAAATATTTTTCAACTGTCATTTATGGTTAAGAGCTCCAAAGTCATTTGTGAATTTGCACAGAATTGAGTATAGCTTTTATGTTTACAGTATACAATTTTTATACAAAATTCAACCATTGATTGTTGTCAACAAAACAATGAAAAAGGAGGATACTTTGAAGTTAAATGAGACAATAAATTGGAGTACAAAAGTTTTTAATTTGTCATGATTTTGATATCTGCATTTCAATTAGATCATAATATGTTGGTTTTGAATAAGTTTCAAATGTTTTAATAAGATGTAGATGGTTGAGTGGAACAAATTAAAGCGAGACAAAGAGAGAAATAATGTACACATGTATGCTATTAATATGACATGTATACATAGACTTTTGAAATTTGCTACAGTTTGTCATCTTAAATTTATCTAAAAAAGTTAAGATAATATGTTTGAATAGAAATATTTAAAAAGGAATACGCATGGATTGGACAAAAGAGTATGTATCAAAAAAATGATTGTCTTATAACTTTGAGTCTTTAGGTAGATTAAGTATTAAATCATTGTATAAATGTTGTTTGAAACCATAGATTCATTATTTTTAAAACACATTTAGACTCACATAATACAAAAAATCAAAGCTATTTGTTTTTTTTGATAAAAAAAGATACACTAAATAAAAGTCATTAATTCTATTTAACAATAAATTAGGTTATTTATATAAATATTAATAATAAAAATCCCTAAAACTAATGTTTTTTTTAACTATAAAAGTTATTACTAAAGTGAATTATCACTTAACATATATTAACATTCTTCTATTCAATTTTATTCTTTGTTTATTTCTAAACTGCCAAAAATAGAATTTTTTAGAAATTATAATATCTATTAATTAAAAAAATTATTACATTAATTTTTAACTAGATGAATTCATGTTGTTGTCTTGAAAAGTATGACTCAAATGAAGTTATTTTAGAAAGATATGTTTGTGAGTCAAAAAATATTTTTCAAATACAAGTACAATATAATATAAATAGGAAGAAATAAAATATAGAATGGAGCTTTTAGCTAAAAAGTAGGATTGGTCAAGCTATGCCATTGTCATAGATAATATGCAAAAAAAAAATTTAATTTTGTGCAAGGAACTACTTATGAAAAATATATATATATATATATATATATATAAATTACATTAAAAAATCATAAAAGTATGTTAAGACATTCAAAGATGTACTAAAATGAAGAAACAAATAAAATAAAATATAGAATACAATAATTAAATTATTAATATTTTCTTAATCAAAAATTAAAAAAAAAAAAAAAAAAAACTAGTGTAGAATTTTAATTGTATTTTTTAGAGAGAAGAATCTTAATAAAATAAGAGGTGGTGCATCAAGAGAATTCTATATAAAATTAATCATGGAAAAAAAATAGTTGTCACAGATCCAAATCAATGTGCTTCATTGACTGTCCTTTGTGAGTCACTGAATTGACTCACTTGGATATTTAGTATAAAAAAAATACACTTATAGTACTTAAAATCACAGATCTTGTGAATTAATACTAGAATTTTTAGAAAAAATAGAAAAGAGATTACGAATAAGAAATATCCAACGTAGGATAGAATTTAGTAAGGAAAATTCTACAAAAAATAGGTTTTTTAGTTAATTAATATTAGATGAAGGGCCAAGAGAAGTAATCTTTGCATAAATATATATATATATATATATATGATAAAAGATAAATAATTAAATAAAAATTAAAAGTAAAATTAAAAAAGAATATGTATATATGTATATATATATATATATATATAAGTATAAAGGCAATCAAGGTGGAATGAGAAGTTATCCTTGAATGGCGGCATTTTTTTTTATTTTTTTTATCAATAGGGATTCTATTGCCCAAATTTTTTTATTTTTTTTATTTTTGATATTTTTCTTGTGTCAAAATGGGAAGGAAGTGACGCTCAAGGAAGGACATGGTTGCCTATTCTGATCTACAACTTTGTGTTAAATGATTGTAAGCATTTGTTTTTGAAGGAGTGCAATGGCCTTTCTCTCTGATTTTTCGATGGCTGCGGAAGCTCTATAATCTTGGTATGTATTACAAAAGTGTCGCAAGGAATTTTATTTTTGGGATGTTGTAGATCAATAGAGGACCATTTAAGGTCCTTGATTTAGTTCTAGTATACAATCCTCTTATTTTTTTTCTTCTTATATTTTTTCCATTAGTTATTTATTTTGGCTTTGGAAGTGTTGTGGTGCAATATCCTAATTTTTGGTAATCAAAATTTTATCAAATTATTTTTTTTAAATGAACTTTGATTTCTACGGTGTTTTGTTACTCTTTTCTTCTATGTTTTTATGCATTTCCAAGCTTTGATCAATACAAAGCTTTCTCTAGTTTTGTTGTTTTTTATTCTAATTGTCCGAGCTCTGTAGATTGCCGTTGTGCTGCTACTATGCAAACCTTTGATCTTCTTTATTACGTAGGTGGCAAAGAAGTTGTTGTTCTTTATTTTTTTCTCTTGTTGTTGATTGTAGGTTCTCATTACTCCCTAAGCTCATGCATGTAGCAATCTTAGAGAGCTTGATTGTTCCTAGTTTTATTGCTATAGTCATAGAGGCTCACTACAAGCTTCGTTCTTCCTTCACACTTTTATTCTCCTCCGTTGGTGGCACTACCAATAGCCTTTTTATGTATTGTATGCCAAAAGAAAGCTTGAAGATGTAATATTGCTTATTATAGTCGTAATTTTCAATAGGTAGGTTCAAAAGGTGGTTAAACATCACTTCTTGCATTACATTAAAGCTACTAGCACTACAACTTTGTCATATTACGTGTCGTCCTATTTCAGAATGTACTGAGCATATAGTTGTGGAAGGTGAAATTATATTTTACAAGTATTCAAGAATCCTAATATGTTTCATTCTTATAAGAAGAATGCAATTTGAATTTCAATTCAAAATTTCTTGAATCTAATACAAAGTGTTCAAAAATACTCTTTTAATAATCTCAACTATACATAAACTCCAATTGCCTTGTTACTTTCATAATTAGATAATTTTGAATTTTTTTTGTAAACCTTAATCCTAATTAGTAAGCTTTAGTAAGCTGTAGCTCATAATCTAACTGTCCATTTAGAGCAAAATTTTGCATATAAATGCTACTACAAGTCTTTTATGTATTTAAAAAAGAATTCACTCTAATCCAACTTATATATTATGAGAAAACGTCCAAAAACCACACTAATGTTACTTGGCCACCAACTTGAAAGTTGATACAAATGTTTTAGTAGTGATTTCTCCTTTTTCAACTATTAACTTTAATTC